TGTCTCTTTTCAAATTAGAGTTTTCTCTAGATATATGTCCAGAAGTGGGATTGCTAGAGCATGTGGTAGCTCTATTTTTAGTTTTTTAAGGAACCTCCATACTGTTTTCCATAGTGGCTGCACCAATTTACATTCCCACCAACTGTGTGGGACAGGAATTCTTGATGGATTTCCAGGGAGCTGTATCTCTGCAAACCCTGGGAAGCAGCTACAGAGACTGCCTGGGGTTTGTCCTATTCTCTGTTTCCCTGCAGTGAAAAGGGCTTCCATTGCAGTCTGAGGGACTGAGGTTAGACGTTGGGAATAACTTTCCCTCTGACAGAGGAAGAAGTGAAAAGGGATAACTGAGTTCATGGTGCAGGGAGTAGCGTGGGTCTTTCCTGGTTGTGCCTGTCCAGACTTCCTTCCTTCCCTGAGGGACCCAGCTGGGCCTCTCCAGGCTGGGGTCTGGCTCTGATGCAGGCAATTTACCGGAGAAGGGCCTCGCTTCCCTGCAGGTGGCGCCCTTGAGCCGGCCCGGGAGGTGGCTCGGTCTGCACTCAGCTCTGCAGAAGCTCGAACTGGCGGCCGGATTCTGGTCCCCACCCTGTGCCCACAGAGCCTCAGGCTAGGGGTTGCAGGACCCCAGGCCTCAGGCCTGAGTGAGCCAGAAGTAGCTGCTGTAGCATCAATGTGAAGACGGAGAAAACCCTGGGTTTGGGGGCCGCCCACCTGCCCAAAACAGTTCAGGGGCCCCGCCCTGTGGGCCTTTCCAAGGGTGGTGCTCAGTGTGTGGTGACTCAGAAAAACCTGGTACAGATCTTAGTTCTTCCCCTCACTGCCTGAGGACACCCGGGCATGTCCATAGTTTCTCTGTTTTCCCACCCAAAAAAGTGAATGATCCGTCCTCCTTCACAGGGCCGTCAGAACACCTAATAAGCACTTAATAAATGTTAGCAATTATTGTTATTCAGCAAACGCGATGTGTCAACGCGTCACGAAAGATTATATTGCCAACTAGATGGATATTGAACGCTAGAATCACAAGTGGTTTATTTTTAGAAAGTATTTAAGAAGATTTAATTATAATTTCAAAAAATTAAATTGAGAATTCCAGGTTTAAGTAAAATTTTGATTTTACATTTTGATATCCATTACTTATCATTTGTATTTGGCCTTTAAAGTTTAATAGATATGTTTTAATATTTTAGAAAGAATAAATTTTTTTCACATACATAACTTTTCAAAAAAGTTAATTTTTACAACTGATTTAATTTACATTTCTATGATGAAAATGTATTCAAATTTTATACTCTGGATGTAATTCATTTTATTTTTAATCCCTTGGATCATTGAGAATGAGTGCAAATAGACATGATGATAGAAAGAGCAATTGTGGAAGTGGAACTCAGACAAAAAAAGGCACAAAGAAACAGAAAATCTTGAAAGAGACAGTCTGCTTAAAATTTTTAAAATTGCCAACAACAAGTGAGCAGCTTTCACTGTACCCCTCCCCGTCAAAAACCCCACTTATATGATTCCTAGAAACGAGAAAGGAGCTGAATAAACCGCCAACGGTGTTTAGTCTTCAATAAAGGTACTAGGGAACGTTGATGAGACGTTCTTCTTTTTTTTAAGATTTTATTTTTATTTATTTATTTATTTTGGCCAAGCCAGGTCTTAGTTGTGGCAAGCGGATCTTCACTGTGGCATGGGGGACTTTTTAGTTGCAGCAGGCAGGCTTCTTAGTTGCAGCACGCATGCCGGATCCGACCAGGGATCGAACCCGGGCCCCCTGCATTGGGAGCGTGGAGTCTTACCCACTGGACCACCAGGGAAGTCCCCAACAAAATGGTCTTAAAGGGATCAGAGGTAATTTGGACAAGATACAGTAGCACTAGAAGAGTTCAATGAAACAGCAGATGATTCTCAAAGAGCAAACCATGGACTTTGGCAGAAAATGAAAGTATCTTTAAAAGTTTGTTAATTATTTGCTTGTCACTCATAATGTTAGCAAAGGGTTATTTTTAAAAAACAAACAAATCTAAATTGGCTGTGTCATTTTTTAAAAGACTAAAAATATTTTTAAATGTTTAGAGAAAAAAGTTTTTATAAGTAGAGAGAACCTTCATATATAATATGCAGTAAAAGTAATATTCCAATAAAATGTAAGGAAACTAGAAAGCAGAAATAAAATGCTCATATGACCGTAAAGGAGAAGATTCACATTCACATAGTCCAGTTTATAGAGACTATTTTCTAGCCATTTCCGCCTAGATTAAGGCAGAATCTCAATTGAGAGATTTGAACAAATGAGCAAAATACTGGTATTTTGGGTTTTCTTTATAATGTCCCAATGTTGAAAAATGTGAAAGAACTTAAGAAATGCTACATGGATTCTTCATGCTAATCAAGGAATATAAATTAACACACTGCTTCCTTTATCTGGAAAGTCCTGCTATGAACAAATACCAGCTGAATTAAAGAGTGTGCTTGCGACGTACAGTCTATCACAGCCTCCCTGCCTCATCACAGACCTGCAACAAATATTTTATGGTTTGGCATTTGGGGTACCACCAAGCTAGATACCGCTTCAAGAGATGTTGAAATCTATAATGAGAGAAATTCCTAGGGGACAATTAGAATATTATGTAACGTTTCCTGTGATAATGATGAGTTATTCTACATAAGCTTATTACACTATTTGAACATGCAAAATTTATGATCCACTTCTGAACCTAAGGACCACTTTAAGGAATATATGACTAATTCCATTTGCTACTGTCTCAGAATTTTGAACTTTCTCCACATAGAATTTAAAGAAAAACTAAGAACTCAAGAAAGGTTGTCTAACTTGGCATTTCTGGCAGTAGAACAAAATTTTGTTACCAATTATTTAACAACATTGTGATTTTGTTGAAACAAAGGAAGAGATGCACTAAATGAATAATGTATAACTTACCTGTTTTTATTTTATTAATCTTTCAAACATCATGAGCCCATCAACAGAACACTCAGACATACATAGTAATGATTAAATTCAGCCATCTTTGATATTTTACTAACTTTCAGCCATATAAAAGCCAGTTTTCAGTCACATGAAAAACACTATTTTCAATTTTGTCATTATTAAGGTATATCTGTTAAGGTAGGAGGAGAAAACTTTCTTTAAAGGGCTTGTGAGCCTGATTAAGGACTTTGAAATATTTAGTCATGTGGTTGGTGGGCCTCCATTTGTACTTTTTTTTTTTTTTTTTTTTTTGCGGCATGTGGGCCTCTCACTGTTGTGGCCTCTCCCGTTGCGGAGCACAGGCTCTGGACGCGCAGGCTTAGCGGCCATGGCTCACGGGCCCAGCCACTCCGTGGCATGTGGGATCTTCCCGGACCGGGGTACGAACCCGTGTCCCCTGCATCGGCAGGTGGACTCTCAACCACTGCGCCACCAGGGAAACCCTCCATTTGTACTCTTGTTCCAGGCCCCAGAAATGTTAGGAGACCACCTAAAGACCCTTCTTCAGAGAGGCTGTGAGGCATAATGGAGAATCACTGAGTATGGAACAAGAAGACTCACCTTACTGGACTTATTTTCCTTCCTTGTCCATGAATCCGAGGTGACACGGCCTGCCTCCCAGCACCATTTAGAATTCCCAGGACGTAGTACATGTGGAAGTGCTTCCTGACACGGAGACAACTCTCCAGGTTGTCTGGCCCAAGACCGCTGGTTTCATGCCTTACCTCCTTCGTAAGGGACACTGGCTTGCCCCAGCTGTTGACTCACTGGCAGTTCTAGGCCATCATATTTTATACCACAGCTGTCCTCTTACCCCTGGTTGACCAAAGGGTAGTCAAGTGAACTATGACATAAGAGTAGACAAAGGTGAGCTGGAATGGAGAATATTTCCACCTTCCCATCGACCCCACCCGCTTCCCCAGGACATCCTGTGTGTACTCAGCAACTCAGGAGTGCTGCTAAACTTCTGTCTACTCTGCCTGCCCTCCTGCCCCACCCCATCTCTCTAGCTCATAAATGTAGCCTCAATTTTTTTGTGGTATGAGCTAAGAAATTGTTAGAGACTCGTCTTTTATCTAATGCAGAGAAAAACTGAGATGGCTAAATTAGACGGGTTGTTACCTACTACAATTATGAAAGAATCAAACGATCCTGACCAAAGTTAGAACAAAATTTGACCCTAGAAAATGGACTTGGTAGAAATAAAGCTCACAAAAGAAAACTTGCCATGACAGAAACTATCATCAGTGAAATCTGGTACTGACCAAAATGTGATCTATGAACCAAATTTCTAACCTAAAACTTAAGTGAAAAAGGATTGGTCCCCATGAAAATAGTTTTAGTCAACTCGAAATGAAAAAGTGAAAAAATTGGAAATGGCTTAACTGGGCTTTATAGAAAATTGATCAAGGAATTAAATTGACTTAATGAAGTCCATTCCGGAAAGCCCTTTCCCAAGGAAAATTCATCAGAGTCAGCGTACTTTCTAGTTACATCTTTATACTCAAAATGTCTCCAGTGGATTCTCTGTGGAATTTTCAGTAAGAAACAAGGAGAGGTGGTTCATGGTGGTTGCACCTGAAAGGTCACGGTGTAGAGGGGCTGGGGAAGGTGTGGGCAGGGCCTTTGTAGGTGGGCTCCTCTCTCCCTAAAAATGTACTAGAATTATACGACTGCATTGGTATTACGGCAAATATAATCCAGGCTGGATTCATTGTTTTCTATTCGCCATTATTATTATTTTAATTAATTAATTATTTTTGGCTGTGTTAGGTCTTCGTTTCTGTGCGAGGGCTTTCTCTAGTTGCGGCAAGCGGGGGCCACTCTTCATCGCAGCGCGCAGGCCTCTCACTATCGCGGCCTCTCTTGTTGCGGAGCACAGGCTCCGGACGCGCAGGCTCAGTAGTTGTGGCTCATGGGCCTAGCTGCTCCGCGGCATGTGGGATCTTCCCAGACTAGGGCTCGAACTTGTGTCCCCTGCATTGGCAGGCAGATTCTCAACCACTGCGCCACCAGGGAAGCCCTGGCCATTATTATATTCATCTTTTTCTTCGGATTTTAAAAGAAATTAAAATTAAAACACTTCTGTGGGCTCCTAAAAAGCATCGAGGGCCTTAGGCGCTGTGACTAATGGATAAGTTGGCCCTGGTAGGGGCCCAGGTCAAGGGTAAGCAGGAAAGTCTGAATGAACCTGGGGGTAGGGTGGGGCCAGATGGAAGGAAGAGACAGGGCTTTACCTTCATCTTCTTAATGGAAGTTGCCAGGGTGACAGTTCCCAGTCCAGGCTTCCTGCAGCTGCTCTGCTTTTCCTAAGGCCGGGTTTCTATTCACACATCTCTTTACAGTGAACGTTCCATCTCTCAAGGAGCCCTGGGTTTCTGTTCTTGCTACCTTAACAGCCCAAGTAAACAAACAATTCTAAGGCCCTCTACCCACACTCGTGAAGCCCCTCTCAGCAATCCACGTCAGGGTTGTCCTGTCTCGGTTGAGTTGAGTTGTTTGTGTGGAGGAGAGCCTTGTGCATGTGGTCCCCTCCCTGACTCAGCTGTGCACTACTGGGGCCATGATTGGCTTTCTCTTTAGACCCACCCCCTAACCATTCCACCTCATCAACATTTGAGTACCTCCTGTGTGCCAGCCCCTGGGTCATAGAGCCTGGGGCACAGCATTTAACAAGACACAGCCCTGCCCTCAAGGAACTCATTCAGGGCCAGCTCAGGACAGGGTTTCTCAACCTCAGCATTATTGACATTTGGGCTAGATAATTTTTTGTGTGGGCAGCTGTCCTGTGCATTGTAGGATGTTCAGCAACACCCCTGGCCTCCACTCACCAGGTGTCTCCCCCAGATCATAAGCATAAAAATTTCTCCAGACACTGCCAAATGTCTCCTAGGCGGCAGACATTGCCCTAGTGAGAACCACTGGTTTAGGCAATGGGTGTTGACAATGGAGTCAAAGGGCTCAGGGATCACAATGTAGCTCATCGTGGGCACCCCAGAACGCCCATAGGAGCTGGAGGGGAGAGAGATGCAGGGATGCAGGTCTGGCTGTCAGGGATGCTTCATGGCTGAAGTGCTGTTTTAATTCGGGTCTTGGAGCTGAGCAGAGCCCTGGAAGAACTGTCAACAACATGGAGGAGAAGAATTGAGAGAACTCTTATGACGTAAGATTGAGGAGAAACGCTTATGCTCCAGTAGGAATGATGGGGGTTAGATAATGGGTAGATCTCATTATCAACTGGAGGGCGGGGCATGTGTAAATACCTAGGAAATCCTTAGACAATACTTAAGTTACCCATGAGTTAAATCTAGTCTCAAGATGCATTTTGTTTGGTTCATCTACTAATAATTTAATTTTTGACATGATTTTAAATGCTTTGTTTTAGCCACAGTCCCCACTATTCTTTATCACTCACTGACCCAATTATTCTTTTACAATTATTTCACTTGCCAGGTTTCTGAAGGCTTGTAAGTTTACATCTTTAAATATAAACAATATAGTGACTTTTCACTTGGGGGTTCATAGACACTTTCCAGATCTTTGGGTAAAATTCAGGACATCAGGAGGCTCAATAATCGGCTGAGACCATGGGGCCCAAAAATGTATCTAAAATTTTCTGGGCATTTTTCTGGTGAGAGAGTCTCTGGCTTTCATAGAGTTCTCCAAAGGGTCTGCCCTTCTCTCCTGAAAAAGGCCTAGCTAGGTGGGGCGGAGGTCTTTGCAGGTCCCTGGAGACATTTTGTGCAATCAGCAAAGGAGAGACTCAGGGCTGACTTCTGTTCACCTTTTCCTTTTAGCCTAGGTTAATTCAGTTAGTAATTAAAAATATGAATGCACTGTGGGATCTGCTTAGAGCACGGGCAGGCGTTTTGCGGCGGTCACCAGAGGGCCGGGAGCATTGATTTAAGATGTCTGGGCAAACTTTGTGAACCAGAGAGAAAGCCTTCAGTTAAAGATTTCTTCCACCAATTAAGAGGCCACTGCCACTTTAAAGGACACAGAGCCAGAGGCAAGACAAGAATCGCAGCTTGGAGGTGCCGGTCAGCCAGAGAGGACACGGGCGACGGTGGTGTGGTCCACAAGTGCTCTCCCTCACCCTCCTCAGCCCCCTGGCCCCAGGGCCCGCTGGCTGTGCCACCTCCCAGCAAACCACTCTCACAAAGGATCTGGTCACTCCATTTACACCAAGGTGTACATGATGAAGCAGCATACAATTAGGTTCGCATTTTGACTGTAATCATGTTTTGGCCCAAGAGTCTCTGATTTCACGGGTAGCTGGCTGGGGGCGAGAAAAGGGTGGAGGATAACTTTGGGGAGGGGTCCGTGAGGTGGGGATTTTGGGGGAAGGGGCAGGGGTCCTGTCCTCAGACTCAAAGCCCTTTTCCTCAACTGAGAATTGGAATTGTTCTTTGAGTTGCAAGGACAGCTGGGGCATTTCTTCTGGGTGGTTCCAGTGTGGGCAAAGACTCTCCTTCCCACTGAAAAGACAGCAGCTGTGTGTGATTTCCCTGACTTCTCTGGGTTTTCTGTTAATCCTACCTCTCTGTAGTTTTTGCTCTCAGGATCTGCTGGGCCCACCAGGCCTGGGCTGACTTCTGAATTTCCCAAGGGGGTGGGCAGGCTGCACTGTGTGTGTGTGTGTGTGTGTGAGCACGCTCACACACATGGGTCTGGGGCTTACCATAACTCTGACCCATCTCCCAGAAAACTCTGAGAACTCTGGGGAACTGGTTTGTTCTGGGGGATGGAGAAAATGAGCAGCTGTAGGGAGGCCTGCACTCTGCCATTAAAGGGGATGCCCACTCCATTGGTCCCCTAGGACCACCCTGAGGATAAACTAAACTAATGGAAGGATGCTAAAAAGTTTAATGTAGGAAAGTTCTTGAGAATCTCATTAATTCAAACTCTAATTTGGAATTTGTAATATTTTTAAATGTTTTGTTTTCATAGCAAAGAATAAAAAACGTGTGCCTCCTGAATCTGTTACTTTCGCAGATTATAGAGGGCAGGGACCCATTCTTACTGGTCACTGACTCTCCAGCTGCTGGCAGGCTGCCTGGTAACCGCTCGCTGAATCCTTCCAGATGTTTCTTGTGCATTTACATACGTGTGTGTGCATTTGCACACACAAACACACTCTACTTATATCTTACTCTGTGACATACAGAGCTTTTGAAAGTCCATTACGGAAGACAGTAAACAGGAGGGTGCCGGAGGGGCTGTGATGCTGGGTCATCCAAGATCTAATGTATACAGATGGTCCAGGGATGCAGAAGCAACAGGGCACATACCAAGGAGACTTGATCGCTGAAACAACCTCCTGTTTCCCGGCTCTTCTAATCATTTAGTGGAGCAAGTATCAATTTCAGCAGATCTCATAGAGTCTATAGAGGAAATGGGCTCATTTTCCCATCTGTGGGCCAGCAATGGGGCTGAGATCTGCATCCCTACTTGAGCCCCCTGGGGTGGAGTCAGGAGCTAGTGGGTCATGGCTATTGCTTGGGGATGATGGCTTGGAACATGGAATCTGGGGGCAGACATACCTGGCTTCCAGATCTTGGCTGTCAAATTACTGAATGACTTCTGGCGAGTCGTTTGACTTCTCCAAGTTTGTTTTTTCATCTGTGAAGTTCACATAGTACTTCCTCCTAAGACTGCCAAAAGAATTAGGAGTACATGTGGAGTCCTTTTGCCAGAGCCCGACTGTGGGCACGCAGACACTTGAACTGCCCATATTCCCACTACTACTTGGCTTTGATTTGGGTGGGGGAGGATACCCAAAGCCTACCAGAGGAAAAGCGCTCCCGGCTGTGGCTCAGGGCAGGCACAGCATCTTCTTACCTTTGCCGTCCTGGCAGCTAGAACGTGAAACGAACTGCATGACCTGGAGCAAGCTGCTTAAACAGTGGTTTGTTTTCTCATCTACCACCCGAGTCAGGCTGAGTGGTAAATGAGTTTGAGCTTGGGGGGCACCTACAATGGTGCTTATTCCCTCTCCTTATTCCTAAACAAAGATCAAGAAACACCAATCCAGGGACTTCCCTGGTGGTCCAGTGGTAAAGAATCCACCTTGCAGCGCAAGGGATGCGGGTTCAATCCCTGGCTGGGGAAATGAGATCCCATATGCCGCAGGGCAACTAAGCCCGCGCGCCATAACTACTGAGCTCGAGCACCTCAACTAGAGCCCGCGTGCCACAAACTATAGAGCCCACGCACCCTGGAGCCTGTGCGCCACAACTGGGGAGAAGCCTGCGCTCTGCAATGAAGAGCCCACGTGCCCCAATGAAAGGTCCCGCATGCTGCAACTAAGACCCGACGCAGCCAAAAATAAATTAAATAAATCTTAAAAAAACACAAAACTTTCTATCATTCTACTTTAAAAAAAAGAAAAAGAAACACCAATCCAGAGCCATTGGGGGCTGTACTTTGCTGTACCCTGATACTCAGAGCTCTGAATATTTACTGACAAGAAGCTGCCTGGGTGACACCACCTGGTGGGTATTTCCAGATGGAGACAGTACCCTCTTCGTTGCTTGCAGGAGTTGAGAAGATGCACTCTTCTCCTCCTGATTACCTTGCCACACCAATGATGGGATTTGGGAATTAGTATGGGGCCTCCTACTCTGTATTCGATTGAATTGCAGAGATTTAATTTCACCAGTGTTAAAAAAGGAAAGACAGAGTAACAGGCATTAAATTAAGCTCGTGCGCTTTTGCCAAGACCACTCCACCCCCACCAGACCTCAGGGATTTACTTCCTTCTCTAGTGCCCAAAGAGATTACCACTCTACTAGATTTTCTAAACTGAAATGGAACAGCCATTCTTATCTCGGGGATTTCACTAGGTGCTGATGAGCACAGAGCAAAATCCCAGGAAGGCACTGGCTCTTCCAGGTGCACTAGAGGCAATGTGCGCGGGGTTGCCTAATAATATCCTCCCTAAACCGTGTGTTTACCAGCAGTTCGTGGGCAGCTCTATTTCTGATCCTTTCCAGGACTTTTTTCTTCCTCTTTCGCTGTTCTCTTGGCTACTGCTCGATGGTTTGCTTTGCAGTCCTGTCATTTCACAAAATCCTACTTCTGGAAAAGGATTAGCAAAATTACACAGTGTTGCTGCTACTTAACATTCAGGAAATGCAGCATCCACACACAAGTTACCAATCATACTTACCAGATGGTAACTGTATCTTTTCACCAGAAAGGGAGCTGCAAACATTGAAACTCATCACCAACACATTTAAATTCACATCCATTTTCAATTTGACATCCTTAATGAGTTGGTATAATGAAAATCAGTATTTTATCCCTATATTGTTAACTATTTGTAACAATAATGCTACAATAATGCAGACTTGATATTTTTAAAATAGTCATGAAACAAAATCTCACAACCTACAATTCTGATATACTCTGCATCTAAATATATTTTTTCAGTACTTCAGAGTTTTATATTCAGAATGGGCTAATGGAAATGGCACATGGCAGGAAGAATAAAAATCTTGCAGCTGATGATGGTGTCTATATACTTTTTTAGCACCACTGCTTAAGCTTAGTGGTTACTTTTTGATCAACTATCTCCCTAAAAAAACTTTAAGATCAACTAGTTCTCTCTTATTGGACTTGTGTTAGGAGGCAACTGAAGCCCATGCGGGTGGAGTAAGTTTCTGATGTGATAACAGCAGAGCCAGAGAGCCTTGCCTCCCGAGTCCCCGGTCTAGATTCCAGTCCACCTAACACTCCCGAAAGAACTCTGAGTTTTGGCCTTAGCTGGTTGTCAATAAATTAAATGGCAACCCTGGCTAGTTTGGTTTCTGTGTACTTAATGAGTGAAGAATGGTTGCTAATGGGCTGAATTGTGTCCCACCCAAAATCCGGGTTGAAGTCCTAACCACTTGTGACTGTATTCGGAGAGAAGACCTTTAAAGAGGTAATTAAGGTAAAATGAGGTTTCTGAATTAATGGGCCCTGATTCAATACGACTTGGTTAGGACACAGACAACACACAGAGGGATGACCATGTGTGAGAACACAGCAAGAAGGCAGCATCTGCATGCCAAGGAAAGAGGCCACAGAAGAAACCAACCCTGGTGACACCTTGATTTTGGACTTCTACCCTCCAGAATTGCGAGAAAATAAATTTCCACTATTTAAGGCACACAGTCTGTGGCTTTTTTTTTTTTTTTAATGGCAACCCTAGCAAATACAGTGGTCCAGACTGAAAGAAAATGTAGAACTCACATTATACTTTTCTTTATAATAGAGACACTATGTTATTAAGTAGGGCTCATTTATCCTAAGGATACAGTGGAATCTCATGGAACCAGAGTGGAATGCCGATGGCCTCAGAAATGCATTGGAGGGACTCCCCTGGTGGCGCAGTGGTTAAGAATCCACCTGCCAACGCAGGGAACACGGGTTCGAGCCCTGGTCCTGGAAGATCTCACATGCCGCGGAGTAACTAAGCCCGTGAGGCACAACTACCGAGCCTGCGCTCTAGAGCCCACAAGCCACAACTACTGAGCCCACGTGCCACAACTACTGAAGCCTGTGCACCTAGAGCCCATGCTCTGCAACAACAGAGTCAGCACAATGAGAAGCCCGTGCACTGCAACAAAGACCCAATGCAGCCAAAAATAAATAAATAAATTTATTTAAAAAAAAAAAAAAGAAATGCATTGGACCCAGGGCCTGGAGCATTGTCAAGATTCTGTGTTCGGGCTTCCCTGGTGGCGCAGTGGTTGAGAGTCCGCCTGCCGATGCAGGGGATGCGGATTTGTGCCCCGGTCTGGGAAGATCTCACATGCCGCAGAGCAGCTGGGCCCGTGAGCCATGGCTGCTGAGCCTGTGCGTCCGGAGCCTGTGCTACGCAATGGGAGAGGCCACAACAGTGAGAGGCCCGTGTACTGCAAAAAAAAAAAAAGATTCTGTGTTCATCTCTGCTTTTCATTGTGTATCTGCTTCAGTTTTGTTTTGTTTTGTTTTTTAAATCCATCCCAATTTCCAATTCCTGGGGAAGAGACTGATTGGCCCAGCTTGAGTGAGGGACTCACCCCTGGTCTAAGAGTCATGTTAGAATCGACTGTTAGAGGGAGGCAGAGTCACATGGCACACGGTGGCCATCATAGCCCTGTGAAGGGCTTCCCTGGTGGCACAGCAGTTAAGAATCCACCTGCCAATGCAGGGCACACGGGTTCAAACCCTGGTCCGGGAAGATGCTACATGCCGCGGAGCAACTAAGCCCATGCGCCACAACTACTGAGCCTGTGCTCTAGAGCCCGCGAGCCACAACTACTGAAGCCTGCACGCCTAGAGCCCGTGTTCCACAACAAGAGAAGCCACTGCAACGAGAAGCCCATGCACTACAACGGAGAGTAGCCCCCGCTCGCCACAACTAGAGAAAGCCCGCGTGCAGCAACAAAGACCCAACACAGCCAAAAATAAATAAAAATAAAATAAATTAAAAAATAAAAATAAAAAAGCCCTGTGGAGACAAAGGAGGCATTCTCAGGAAAGGAGAGCTCACCAGACTATGGAATAAGTCCTGTGCAGCAAGGAGGGTCTGTCTCCTCTCAAGGGCAATGGGGAGGCAAATATGTGATGCTCATGTGCTAAAGCAGAATGGCCGATGTATTAACAGTTTGGCTACAGAGAGCAAAATTAAGGCAAGAGCAGTGCAAGGCCTCATTCAGACCAAGGACTGCTTGCAATCTTATGGCTGTTTCCCAACTGAGGATGAGAGAAAGAAGAGATGACGACAATGTTGATTAGCAGCCTGTCAACGTATGTGCACCCATCAGGTAGAAAAAGTTGATTGGTGATCAACTGGAATTCCATTATAGAAATGGTGCAGGATGTTTATAATCTAAAAAATAATGTGCAATGAAACATAACAGGAAGCCAGACTAGTCTCTTGTTTCATACATATTAGGGAGCCTAAATCATGACTTTCTGAGAGGAAGCGGGGGGGAGATTAAATAATGCTTTTTGTTCTGGAGAAGAGGTCATGTATGGGAAAAACAGCAAGAACAAACTTTCAAATAAATCGGAATCAGACAAAAGTGATTACCAGCCTGAATTAGCATGGGAAAGGGCATCCTCACAACTGTCACAGCACCTTGCTTTCGCTCACGTTACCCCTTCTTCTTCTTCCACCAGGTACCCAGGCCTGAAGCCCCTGCTTAGGCTATCTCCTCTGTAACACCTACCCTGACTGACCACACAATTTGGCATTTTATTTTTCTGAAACTGTTTTGTGGACATTGTGTTCCCCCTATAGACTAAACCTCCTTAGGATGAAGGCCTATATGATATTCCCCACTTTGTCTTAAAGGGCCTGACACACCTTTAATGAACATTTGTTGCCTGACTAGTTGTCACCAGCTGAACAGAAAATGGTCAGAAATATGCTTGCTGGGCTCAAGTAATCTTAGAATAATCACAGAAGAAAGAGAAACATCCAGGTATGTTCCTTTTAAGATAAAAACTTTATTTTACAATTATATAAAGCTGCTTTACATTAAGCACAAACAATCCATTTACTTTGTATAGAAACAAAATACCTTTTCATCTGCAAAAAATCAAGTTTTGCTGTATATAAAACTAACATGTGCACATTGTGCTTAAACTGCAAAGTCTGTACAGCTTTACAAAGGACTACCCTTCAGAAGGGCATCCAGTAAACACTTTATTGCATATTTAACACATGGTCTATAACCCACATGTACAATGGAGGAGAAACAAGAAAAACAATTAAAAGGAGGATGAAAATAGCAGCTTTCAGTGAAAGTTTGCACACCGACAACGAAAAAGGTCTGCCACATCTGTAGAGTTGTGCTTGTGTGCCATTTTTGTATTTCCTCACATACACTGGATGGTTTTTGGATGAAGCCTTTATGTACAATAACTCTGAAAGCGTCAAACCTGACCTTCATCTGGAAACTTTTGGCTGGTTTTATAACTGAAGTGGCAATAGGTTTAATTTAATATCAAAGCTAACTCAAGGTAAGTGTAAACAACTAATATCCACATTCTTGGAGCAAAGAAAAATTTAAAGAAATAAAACAAAACTTTAAAATATCTTCCCCATTCTCGCAAAGCTCAGACTAAATAAACATTTTGCATGATTTAAAATCCTAGAAAACTCCACAGGTGCTTAGGAAGAAAAATGTGATGGATGGTCTTGGGCAGTGTTTCTCCACATATATCCCCCGGTTCACTTGCATCAGAATTACCTGAACACTTTTTAAAAATGCAGATTATCATGCTTCACAGGCAGATTTACTGAATATCTGGAATCTGTATTTCAGTAAGCTCCCAGGTGATTCTGAGGCATTAGTTTGAGATGCACCGGTTTGTATGGACAGTGCTGCTACAGGGTCAACTCACCCTCTTCGAAAATTCTGGGATCACAGGAAAAATCGAGTTGCTGTTGCAACGTGGAAGGCAGTGTGAAACCAACAGCAATGAAATAGCAATGCCATTTCTAGATCAAAATGTCTTTCTTTTTTCAGTGGAAAAAGACAGCCACATTGTTAAGGCACTGATATTTGTCACAGAAGCAGTACCATACTGTTTTCATTGATTCCCTCAATCTGAAGTACCAGTATGCAAACACAAGGCAGAAGTCTGGACTGCTCTAAATAATAACACATACGATGGAGTAAAAACGATTTCCAGATTGGAGAAGGTTTATTTTTGAGCCCTGAAATAAAAAAAAGAAGGAGTCCAGATATTCTTGTTGAGACATCTAATGTATAAGAACTACAAAGGTCAACATCTAGGGGGAAACCTAATGACCCACAACTGTTTTGTTGTGGGCAAAATCGACTTGTGGTCACATAAATTGGGAGTTTAAACTTATTTTTCCATGGCCAGTTTAATATTGTCTTCAGTTGTAGATCTTCGTTCCTGCCCCCCTTGCCACTGAAACATATATTTTGTACATAGGTATGTATGTATTGTCTGGTTTCTAAGTGGTGTTGGTAGGCTGAGTTCAATCAAGATGTAGTGTGCAGGCAGGTGCCCACCTGGCTCTTGATGTGCATTTCATACAGGTCACACACACACTGCACGGTGTGTGTCAGACTCAGTCCCCTGAAAATATGGGGTCTCATATTTCCATTCTGTATAAGTTATTGTATTGATTTAGTGTATTGTCATACACTAAAACAAAGACAGCAAAATCAGCCTCCCTCAGTTCTGACCTACTGCCTGAAGTCTTATAGCAGACACTACCCAGGGTATGAGGGCTATGATACCTATTTATGTGAGGTATAAAACCAAAATAAAGGTCTGATTACACATGTACAGCTAATGCAGTAGCATCACTTTTACCCAATAGCTGAAATAATTTAAAGTTAAAATTGCAAAGGAAAAACACTGATGCACAAAAGGCAATAGTTTGGAAAGTTGTCGACCAAGGATGATCTAAGTAGAAAAAAAAAAACTGCTGTAAACCTTATAATATCTGACCTAGTAATTTTCTTTAAAGGGGAAAAAAAAATCTTAAAAAGACAGTGGTAGTGGACTTATCAAAATTACTACCTCCTCCCCAAATTTAGGTTTATAATAAAAATTCCCAAATGCCCCCCCTGCCAACATAGAAAAAACTCTCTAGCATAGTCTGAAATGAAATACAAAATTCTAGATAGTGACAAAAAGAAACCACCACAATGGGGGTAAAGGAGGGATAGAATGATTATCAAACCTTTACTGATTGTAGATCAAGTTTCATAAAACAGATAACGTTTCTGTAATTTCTTGTGCAGTCAACAAGTTTCATCTTAGTTGTGCTTACATTATATAACTGTGAAGCCTGAACACTGGTTGTGTTTTTAATTTACACGTTTCAAGAAAACCATAAATTCAAAATATTCTCTATATATAACAAATTGAACAAATGCAACAAATGCTCATTCACTCCCAAGAAATTAATATATAGAAAAGAAACACCATTTTTAAAGTTGCACACAGTCCACTATTCAGGCTACAAGTACATATTTACTGTATTACAGCACATTATTTTTTTAAAATCTGCTTTCAACATAAACATAAATAACCACATTTTAAAAGAGTCCCATACTAAGTTTGCAGGCAAGTGCTGGACAGTTGGCCAGTAAGAGCTACTTACCATTGTCTTTCCCAAACCGAGAGGACTGGACTATCTGTGGAACTATCTGTATAGGGTGATAAGCAAGGCCAAGTTAAACATTTTCATTCACCCATTGACTAAACACTTTTCTGCTCTAAATGCCACCTACATTTCTAAACACCCAACTCATGGTATGCAATTATCTCAGAAGACTGGTTTTAAGGATCATTTATCACTTTGATGTAATCCACAAAAACCTAGTATACAACCTTTTAAAATGTGCCTATGCTCTGCTGACAGAGAGCCCGTAGTTTTTGTGTACAGCAGAGGCTGAAAT